ACAATTTCCCAGCGACCCGCTCAGAAAGCAACCTCTCGCCGCTCGACGGAGACGGCGTTAACCCATTCGAAGCATTGATCAGTGAAGATGCGAGGTTTAACAGAGCTAGAACCCTTGACTCAGGCACCCGCAGAGCCCTCAGAGCGGAGAAGTCCCGAGCGACTGGGGCAATGAGCACGCTAGAATGGCGCGGATCGATGTCATTCAACGAGGGGAAAACAAAGTCGGGGTCGCTCCGATATCGTCGGCCTTCACATCTGGGGTCCGGGGACCCTGGGGTTTCTCGGTGATATCAGTGAATTCAGTGTAAGCAGCCAGTTGAAAGTGATTCAATGTGATAAGACGCGTGAATGACTAAATCAGCTAACGAAATATTCACCTAGGGGCCCCGCAACGTTATCCTTGATTGATGGGCCCAACCTCCCCGTCCAGGATGCTGGTCAACGACACAGATGGGGAGCTCCGGCTTGAATATGTGGGGTCGACGATGGCTGTGTTGTTGAGAGAGGATAGGAGACAGGACATGATAGCATAGTCTTGATACCAGAAACTTCCGTCACCCGATCCCATCTTCCGCGATCCGATATCTGTTATCACTGTTCTCTTGGGTTGAGGAAATCAGGCACACTCTTGAGTTCAGCTATCGCTGTGACCGAACTTGGGCTCAGGAACGAAAACCCACCAGCATGGCCGTGCGCTAAAAATCATCACTAGGTCTCTATCATTGGCCAATTCATTATTTCGTGTCTTTTGACTAAAGCCATGTCCAAAAGTCTGGTCTATCTAGCCCGTCATCTCATCATCCTCGTCGTCATCATCTTGTCCCAGCCCAGCCTCGATAAACGCCGCCCGAGTTCTCTCAATGGCCTGAACAAACTCTTCTCTACGAAAAGCATTGGGCCATCCGTGTTGGACGTACAGTCGTTTGATCTCCTGTACAACACAAGGAAATGTCTTGGTCAGTCACGAGTTTACATTTCCTGTTGCTGATGAACTCACGTGGCCTTCCTCGGTATACCCCTCGACAACTCTCGCCTCCCACTTCCCAGAGCGGGGCGCTGGCACAACATCCAAGTTGCCGACCTGGGCATAGATCTTGTCAAAGTAAGCCTGGATGGGGACCGGGTCCACAACAAGCCACTGCTTGTCTGCGGGAACGTCCTCCTCGCGTTTGTCGAACTCGGTCCCGTAAGGGTAGATGCATCCTGCGATGGCCTATGCGTCAGCTTCACAGAGCACTTTTGAACCAAAACAGCTCTGCGCATAGTCCAGCTGACCTTGATTCGTATCGATCAACCACCAAATTCCCTCGTCCGCATGCGTCAACGAGACCATGTCCGCCGGCACGGGCCCATCAAACGGCGCAAAGCCAAGGTCCAAGAGCGCCGTGTTGGCAAACACTTCAGCGCCGTCGCCGTGAATCCCATTGGCGCCGCCGAACCACCGCCCGTCGCGCAGATACCGCAGCGGGAACGTCTCGGTATAAATCTCGACGGGGTCCGACTCTTCGTTTTCGTGGACGAAGGGGATGTGCCGCAGGAGATCAATGACGGTCTCGGAGCGGCCCATGGCCCGGAGAGCATCCACGCGGAGCTCCGTGTCGCTCCAGCCGGCGGCGGGAGGGAGTTCGATGGCTGAAACGTCTAAGTAGCCCATGCGCACCAGCAGCTCGTAGTGCCGCTTGAGGCAGTTGACGACGACGTCGCGATCATAGCTAGTCATTTTTTTTCGATTCTTGCTTATCCTGCTTTGGCTGAAGATATTAGGCCGATGTGATAAGCAGACGATGAGGAGTTGGAGAGCCTTGCAGATGAGATTTTCACTGAGCGGTCCCTTTGTGGGGCATATCATTCGAGGCCCAAATGGACTGGTCCCTCACTGAGCCAATGACTGGATTCGGCGATTATGTTTGATCCCGTCTACATGGTGTTTTGGCATATCACCTCGAGCAATTCTTGATATCTTGCCTACGCAAATTAAGCTTCATCATGACAACTACATTGTACCTTTTATCTTCACTGCGCAGCAAGTGGACTTACGGCTGTACCACGACGAGAAGGGGGTCATGAGTAATGCTTGCAAGCTTGTTCTTAGGGTTAAGAGAGTGAGTCGAAGGCGACCATTTTTGAAAAAGACCCGAACCTTCTCCAGTCCACGCAACCAGCAAAGACCCGATCGCCGGTTCTGAAGATCACATTACCCACATCGAGTGTGGCTTACTTCAGTTTTCTCGTATTTCTGGAGGCTGTGACCGAAGGGTGAATGCGAGATTCGGTTCCCTAGTAATTGCACTTGCCCAGGTACTTCAAAGGGTAATGAAGTTCACCTCTTCATTTCACATTACTTATTCACAGCTCATGAGCCCGAAGACATATTGCAGTTAACTTAACACTTCCCATTTGCGACACCGCTGTTGAAATCTGCATGGCCTCCTTTAAATATTCTCGGCGGCATCTCTCATGAACTCATTCGATTTGAATCAGCCAGTAGATCCACAGGATCTCAGCCGAACTTGATAATAATTCTGGTGAGGTCGCCTTGACAGGAAGGCATTCGTATGGATCATGAGTTTTCCTCCTTCGGTTTCGTTTTCCGGGCGGTGTCGTGAGTTGAGTCGCGAATATGAGTCACCCTCAATCGAGAGCTATCATAGAGCTGCAGCGCTGAAATTTAATGCACTGCAGCTACTAACAGCGGAGATTTAATCCACCGATTTTAGCACATCACATATCTCTCACACCATTGCTGCAGCTCATAATATCATCACATACAAGTCTAAAAAACAAACCCTCGAGAACCACGCTCTACTTTACACCACGTAGACGAGTATTGAGACTCATCAGTAATAATGGCAATGGTACATACCTCCGTCCCGGAGGGTCTCATCCCTCTCCTGGAATCCCACCTCCCAAACTCCCTCGTCCTCCTCCGCCGCCTCCAATTCACCCGCTTCAAAGACGGCATGCGCCCAACAGCCCGCATCATCCTAGCTTCAGACGCACCACTCCCTTCTACTGCCTCGCAACAAGATGCCGATGCATCAGGTCAAGAGCCACGGAACTTCTGCGCAGCATACCTCGACTTCGGCAGCACCAAAGAAACCCAACTCTTCATGTACTCAACAGTTGAAAACGCCCCCGACAAAACTCTCGCGGACGCGGACAAGAAAACAGCCGAATCCCAAATCGCAGCAGTCCTCGATGCTGTAACACAAGTGAGCAAACAACAACCAGACAATAGAACGCTTCCCGGTGCATGCCTCGCCGGAACCCTCGCCACACCCACGCGGGACGCCATGCTCCGAGCCGGCGTGCGCGTGACACCTCGCCAGGACTACGAGTATGAGAAATACCTGTTCCGCGTCGATGACATTCCGGATTTCGAGGACCGTGTGACGTTGCCCGAGGGAGCTACATGGGGCCCGGCAACGGAGAGGGATTGTGAGATTGTGATTTCCAGGACGGATATTCCGCGTCAAGTGTGAGTTCTTATCGGCCTCCCTGTTTCTTTCTTTTTGTCAAGTTGTTTTGGAACTTGTCAGAGATGGACACAATGGCTGACAACTAGATAGAAAGACGTTGATGTCGTGGCCCAGTTTGTTTCTCAAACTAGAGGATGGAACGCCTATCGCATGGTCATTCCTCGGTGAGTTTTTCGATCCGTTCTAGATACGCAAGGCGTCTTACATTCATCGCTCCCGCCACGATCTGTTTACATACATCACCCACCGCTCCTCGGCAGCATCATAACTCTCTGACTCCTGCTTAGGCACCGATGCATCGTTATCAAGTCTCCACTGCGAGGTAAGTTGTGCAAAATACCCAAACCCAACACGAAGAGGATACTGCAATACTCTTCAATCATGATCTTTCAGTCTAACACAAGACCCCGCTCAGCCACCTTACCGACAGAGAGGCTACGCAAAGGCTCTGGCGTCGAAGTTGATCAAGAGAGGTACGAGCGAGTACGGCGCCGATGGTTGGGCGTCCGCCGACGTGGCGCCGTATAACACGGGGAGCAAGAAGATGTGCCAGAGTCTCGGTGGGAGACATACCTGGAACGTTTCGTGGTGAGTCGTTCCATTTCCCGCGTAGTAACATGGTTTATCTGACGGTGAAGCGGCTAGGAATGTCATTCATCTTCACGAGGTATAGACGAAGATGTGAAGGAAATCGATCTAGAAGTTTGCTTCATACTACCAATCACCTTGTAGATGTATATATCAGCCATCTTATAAATTACGTTGATGTAAGGTTGTCAAAGATTTACCTAGACAACCTGATTGGTAGACAGAAAATGCGATTGTTTCCAACGGGATCGACCATTGTTACGCAGTGATGTGGCAGACATTATTCGCGAAATATTCAGTAAAGAGAAAAGGTGATGGGTAATAAAGTGTTATTTTTGCGTTTTCCCTTGATATTCCTACTCCGAAAAGACTGCCAGCTCCAAGAATCAAGTCTTTTGGCTTTGTGCACCTCATTTCTTCACCAAACCCGCTCCGGTCCCCAAGAGCACCCGCATCCCATTGAAAAAAACTCGAATCCTCAACTCCGGTACAATCCCGCCGGTGACAGCTGTTTGATAACCCATCTCTACCGCCACAACCTCCCAATCTTTCCTCCCTCGGAGATGCACGGTAGTGGGGTCCCCGGCTCGTTGACAGCTCCAGGTTCCCACTAAGCTAAACCGGATGAACGGTTGTGGTGGGGTGGCATGTCTCGGTCAGAACCTAAGAGTATTGCCAACCAACCCCATCCGGATCTGCAACGGGTGTGGAAGATGCCGCCCTCAACAAGAAAATTTTGCCCATGTCGCGATGAGCGCCGTGCGGCGCGCGCACACAAACGGTAGCCGTCGAGAGCCGAGACTCCATCCGTGAGTCACCCGTGGGCGAACGCTCCGGTCCACCCCTCCTCATCCCATCTCTCCCGTCCCATTCAACCCCGCACTGGGACAGCGTACAGCTTCCCAAGGTAGGTCGGTCGGTCGGTCGCAACTTAGAAGTCGGCACCGGGAAGGTGGTAGAGCTTCTGAACGTCGTGCAGCATCTTCTCGTGATCAATCTCCAGGTCCTTGAGGAGACCGTCGTTGAAACCAAAGACCCAGCCGTGGACAATGGGGAACTTGTTCTTGGCGTACGACTGCTGGATAGCAGCCGTCTTGATGACGTTGCGGCACTGCTCGAGAACGTTGAGCTCGACGAGCCGATCGTAGCGAGCATCCTCCTCCTTGATGGCGTCGAGCTCAGCCTCGTGCAGGCGGTAGACGTCGCGGATATTACGCAGCCAGGGGTTGAGCAGACCGAGGTCCTTGGGAGTCATGGCGGCCTTGACACCTCCGCATCCGTAGTGGCCACAGACGACGATGTGCTTGACCTTGAGGTGGCGGACGGCATAGTTAATGACGCTCATGACGTTGAGGTCAATGTTATTGACCATGTTGGCAATGTTGCGGTGGATGAAGGCTTCACCGGGCTCGAGGCCGGTGATTTGCTCGGCGGGGATGCGCGAATCGCTGCATCCGATCCAGAGGTACTCGGGAGCTTGGCCCTGGGACAGGCTGACGAAGAAGTTGGGGTCCTGCTTCTTCTTCTCCTCGGCCCATTTGCGGTTGTTCTCGAAGACGCGGTCGTGCGTCTGTTTGAGGTACTTCTCAATGTCGCTTTCGGCCATCTTGCGGTCGGGTCTGATAGAAGGAGGAGTAGACGATGACGATGATGGCGGTGCGCGTTGATAGGCGATGTGGGAGAAGCTGGAGGTACGGTGGTTGTTTAGGTGTTGATGCTGAGATCCAAAGGTGGTGTTGGTGAATCTGAGAAGAGGACGTGAAGGTTGCGCAGGGGAGGAGAAGAGGCGGGAAGGGAGGGAGCGTGGGAATGGGCTTGCTTTAAACATTAGAGGGGATTTATTTATGGAAAGATCGAGAGAGGAGAGTGCGAAGCTAATGGAGGAGTCCTAATGGAGGATGTAGCTCGGTGTTTGCTGCAGGTAAGCGGACCTTTGAGCTGGCGGGCGGGCGTGGAGGTTGTCAGATCGGAGCAATGGCAGCCAAGGAAACCCAAGATGAAGGAAATGTCGCACCTTTCCTTCTTCCCACGGAAGATTTGTTGGGAAGCTCCGGCGATCGCGCACCGTTGGCGGCTGCACGCGCTGCCGCTAGTTACCAGAGGGCCACAGAGACCACAGAGGAACCACAAAGACGTCACTGCGCACCTCAGCGTTCAGGACGGTGTCGCGGACGGTGCGTGGACGGTGCGGCCTCCTTCTCGATAGTCCGGCGCTCCGGGCGGGTTGTTGGGGTGACGGGCAGGCTAATTGCTGTTCAACTTGGGTCAAGATCATCGTGGATGGGGACCTCAGCCACGGTGGATGACTCAATTCCTCAATAGAAATACAGTGCAAACGGGAAAAGAGCCGGGGGAGAAATGCTAATGCCGGCAGATGCGATGGTAATCTTGGCGAAACGGATGAGCAAAGGTTGATGATCTAGCTTCTGATTGCACATGTACCCAGTCAAAGGCAAGGAGCAACGGGACGGGAATGATCGATCTCAGATGGCGAGATCTGATTGATTATCTTCCACTTATCATCGAGTACCTTATGATGGGATGTAGAGCAGCGATGATCCCGCCAGGCTATAGAGCAATGGCCACACAAGTTTCAACCATCTCGACTGCTAAGTTTCAACTGCCACTCTCGATCTCTTGGCTTATAACACCCGACGGGATATTGTCCGGCCTATACTCCAGCCACGACGGCCAATTCTCCTTACCTAGGCTGGCCTCTATTGAGTCTTTCCGCCGCGATTGGCATGTGCAGATACCGGGTCATCTTCCGAGTTTGCTTGAGGCAGACAGAGAAATAAACACTCGCAGGCTACTTCCCGGCTGGCCAAGACTAGCCGCGCATCAGTGCGGCACGATCCCGAAAACCCGGCACAACGGCCCCCGAAGAATGCCCGGGGTGTCTCCACAAATCCCGATGACCCGGCACCAAATGGCACCGGCAGTTGCCCCTCTTGGCCCGGTCGCCAACCCGTTCCATCTGAAGCACCAACTCGCTTCGCCAGAGAAATCCCATCAAAGTGCCGAACCTTGCAGGTGATACCCCCCATTACCTCAAAACTCAACGGGTCGCCGCGGACGTGTGAACGAGCGCATCAAGGGGACCCAGCGGGGTGTGCAAGCGCCAGGACCTCCATGGGCACAGTGCCGACTCATGTTACCATCCTCCCTTCATCACTCAAATCCCTCTGAGCAGCTCAAGCCCCAACGGTCCCCGGAATTTGGGCCATCACGACGGCACGCAACCAACACGCCCAAGGGTCTCGCCAGCAGAGCCACTCTGCGCACCCGGTCTGATCACTCAGTCCGGTGAGAAACGAGACTGCTTCTCGCTCTTGAAACCGGAACCAGGGGGGAACCCCTGCATTGTCAGTGTGCCGGCGCCGATAAACTTGTTGCCTTTCTCGGCCGACGCCACCACTGGTTCGTCTTGTCATCCACCAAGAGCCTCACAGAGCTACGGGCACATCCTTCGATCCTAGGCGGTTAGTAGTTGCTGTCACGATGAAAGACGGCAGCATGTACGGCAGCCAAAGAACCACCACCGAGACGTTGAGAACTTAAGAACCCAAAAGATGTTCACTGCCTAGAGTGACAGAACATTGAAGATGAAGTACTTCACCTTACTCGCAGCACACTTGCCACGAAGTTTCCTGGTTGCATTGCAGGTCGCTCAGGTTGAAGGCAAACTCATCACCGTTTCAAGACGAGGAAACAAGGCGTCCCGTGAGCGCAAGTCACGCATGATAAGCAGTCGTCGCATTCTTGCATACCAATGTCCAGTGCTAATTCCTGGTACATAACCATGGCAATCCCTCACTTACGTTCCCTGACTTTGACTTGCTCCTCGAGTGAATTTTCATTTCCTTTATAGATGCCACCAGTTGGCACATTATAATAATACTACCTTCGTTCTGGTAAACGAGTCTTTTCTCTGGTATACGAATAAAGTCATGGTCGCTTTGGACTTCTCAAGAGGCCTCGGCCTGGCCGCCACAGTCTTGGCTCTATCACAAGCAATCAACGCCGCCATCCTTCCTCGGCAGAGCAATGATGCCCTTCGACCTTGGGTGACGGTCCAAGCCGACGGCGCAGCCAAGACCATCACCCCGACCGTCAATGACGGCAAGACCACGTCTGCCTTCACGGGCAGCTCTACTCTCCCCACGGCCGATGCCAACGGCGCCGGGTCCTTCCTTTCATGCAACCAGGCTGCGGGAGCCAACGGCGTCAACCAGCCCTTTTGCTCTCCCAAGGCTGATACTAAGGTTGATGGAGGCAAGACCTATTGGAGTAAGCACCTCCTTCACAAAGACAATTCGACTTGCAAACAAACACTAATACGGAATCTAGTAACATGGGACACCAGTCTCTTCCCCTTGCCCAATACAATGGTTCAAGTCCAGGGTGACTACGGCGTCACAAACGCCATCGACCCGGGCCACGGCTTTACCTCCCAAATGCTCCCCGCATCCCAAGGCCACTTCGCCTGGGCAGCGGTCGGTTACAACATGGCCGCCAACGAATCTCTCACCGTCCAAATCTTCCTCGCCCTCCCGCAGACCAACGGCTCCATCACCGCCCGTCACCCAGGAGCCAAGGTCAGCATCGTCAACCGGCCACAAAACGACAACAGCAACCAGAGACGCCGCGGACCCAACGTGTTTGGTATCGTTCTCCCCATCGTCTTTGGCGTGCTTTCACTGGTCGGCATCGGCTGGTTCGTGTGGTGGTACGGCCGCAGAAAGGGCATGTTCTCCTCCCGCGGCGGAGGCTACGGTGTCGGCAAGAGCCGTGGCCAGAGAACGGCTGACGTCAAGATTGGGCTTGGAGACAATGCCTTCTCGTCGCCTGATCGGGGTGTTGAAATGATGCCGCCCCCGCCGAGACCGCCTCCGCCTTCGGAGGGTAATGTCTTCCGTAACGAGATGAGTAGGCAAGAGAGAAACGAGAGGGCGCAGACCATGATGTGAGACTATAATTGTTACCACTGAAAGAATGACAGACACACAGATTGTATGGCTATCAGTTTGACACACATTCACTTAGTTCTGCTTGAGGTGTGAATGGGCGGCAAACTAAATCTTAATTCGAAATAATGATACCCATATCCAAAAAGAACAGCCAGATAATTACCCAAGAAAATCATTGAAGATGTTCCATAAGGCAAAATTTGCATTTGAAAGACATAATAGTGACGTGAGAGCCTGGTTCATCATGGATCATCTTCAAAATTTGAGTTCGAGGCCAGCGACAGGGGAACATTCGCTACTAAACGCTTTCCTGTTGCATCTTGCGGTTATGTCTCAAAGGCAGGCATCAATCTATGCTCACCACCAACGCCGCAGAGCCAAGACGTATGAGGGTAATGAACAAAGATTCAAAGTACTTTCTCAAGGTGATTCAATCACTCGTCTCATATGGAAAAGTTCTAATGCAGAAAGCCGAGGTGGGCTATGGGAATCATCACCCAAATCGATGCTGGAGATCTCACCGAGCCCTTTCCAAGGTGAACGATTCACCGAAACCAAAAGAAGACTGGCGCACTTTCGAGGGTGGATACGATGGCGGGCTTGACGGTCCACTCAGAGGCTTCCAAAAACCACTGAGAGATGCCGATAGGCACAGACCACCCCAGGGTTTACAAACCCCAATCACCCGGGAGGACCCACCCACCGGAAATTCTGACGGCGCATTTCGAATTCCGTGTGGTCTGCCGCGATCGACTTTGCGAACTTTTTCTCTCTTCTTGACCCCGTCCGTTACAGCATCGACTAACCCGACCGTCAACCACCCCACGACAACAGTCAAGATGTCCGCCGCCCTGAACAAGATCGCTGCTAACAGCCCCTCGCGGGCCAACCCCTCCGAGCTGGAGCAGAACATTGCCCAGGCTCTGTACGACCTCGAGAGCAACACCGCCGACCTCAAGGTCGCTCTCCGCCCTCTGCAGATCGTCTCTGCCCGCGAGGTGAGAACTACCTGAAAGCGACAATTCCAAAGCCCTGAAGACTTCCGAACCCGCGAATTCTCCGGAATCGAAAATCCTGTTCCCAGCCGCCACGGAAATCCAAGCACGAAGAGCAACGAACATGGGCAACACCCCACCCAATTGACGAGCGCGGTGCGAAGCAATGGAATCCCCGAAGCCTTTCTCTCGATTGAAACACATCAGGATTGAAGAGGACTAAAGGGAAAGAAGTTGCTGGTATTGGCATCGCGCGTTCCAGTCTTGGGAGGTGCCCATCGCTGGTATCTTCAGCTTCACCGTGGCGGCGGAGATTTGAACGCTGAAAAGAATGATAATCTCAGGAACAGGACGGGAAGCGGTCCAAGGCATCGTCCTGGAGCTCGCATGCTGACTTGTGATCTTCCTATAGATCGAGGTCGGCCACGGCAAGAAGGCTATTGCCATCTTTGTCCCCGTTCCTTCCCTGCAGGGCTTCCACCGCGTCCAGCAGCGGTAAGTTTCTCCCTCTCTCTTTTCCCAGACCTACTCTGTCCAATACTAAGACCATTCCTAGCCTCACCCGTGAGCTCGAGAAGAAGTTCTCCGACCGCCACGTCCTGATCCTGGCCTCCCGCCGCATCCTGCCCCGCCCCAAGCGCTCCGCCCGCTCCCGCAACAACCAGACCCAGAAGCGCCCCCGCTCCCGCACTCTCACCGCCGTCCACGACGCCATCCTCACCGACCTCGTCTACCCCGTCGAGATCGTCGGCAAGCGCCTCCGCACCAAGGAGGACGGCTCCAAGCTCCTCAAGGTCATCCTCGACGAGAAGGAACGCGGCGGTGTTGACTACCGCCTCGACACCTACTCCGAGGTCTACCGCAAGCTTACCGGCCGCGGTGTCACCTTCGAGTTCCCCCAGTCTGGCTCCGCCGAGTACTAGATTATCGTATCTAGTGTCTTGCGCATTGGGCGGGTGTTTGGTGAAAAATCAAGAAAGGAATCATGGTCAATGATGGGTTTGGCATTTAGTCTGCTGCAATGAAGGCATGGCAATGACTGGTTGATCAAAAGGGTCTGGCGTCTACAGGGATATAAACTTGGGCGATTCCATTACAGGCTGCCCAAAAAATGCATATACCAAAACACTTGACCGCTCCTTCTTAACTATCTGTTCCCGTCTCTTCGTGATTATGTCCATTGTGCTTAAAGCCATTGCCTAATATGTAAAGGAATTGGGGGTATCATTTTTGATTTGACATTAGTCTAGTCCTGGTTGATGCGTCCAACTCCCAAGACACACCAGTAGGCCAGCTCCCTCTTTTCCCTCGCCTCCTTCTCCCTGCTTGTCGCAGTACCGACGTCGCCTTGAGCTTCCGTCTCCCACTCGATGCGCACAAACATGGGTATCTCCAACACATCCTCGTCCTCCCGCAAAGCACTGTCACCACCTGGCTGCTGCTCAAGCCTCAACGAAGCCGGCACGACCTCCAGCACGATGCTCACCCAGTTGCGGCCGCGCTCGTAAATCTTGCCCACCTCAGCCTGCTGCATCCCGCCCTCTTCCCCTCTCCTGCGCTCCTTATCGCCGTCATCCTTGAGGGCATCGTCCCACATGTCCGTGTTGGCATCAATCTCGAACTGCGGGCACAGCACCGTCACGGTGCTGGCGAACCGCCCAGGCGTGCTTGATGGGGTGGCCAGCGACACCTTGACCGTCTCGAAGATGGGGTTCTTGAAGGTCAGGAGATACTGCACGGGCTTGAGTGGCGTAAGCCACAGTTCCTGGGGTATCGGCGGCCGAGCGGTCGAGGGGAGGTTCTGGACCTCCGACTGCAGCGGTCGGATGGTGATTGTGGGGATGTAGCTGCCGGCCACGAGGCGGATGCGGAACCGGGTGTTGGAGATCTTTGCTTCCGGCTTGCTGATGATGTGTCTGCACAGCGGGCATCTCTTGGATCGCTTGGTTCTGAGGAGATAAGGGATGGGCCGGAGCTGGTCACGGAAGCGTACGTGGTCTTGCTGTAGGTAATTCTGGGCTAGAGTCGTTGTGTCATCGGGATGCGTATGTCTGAGTTTCTCAATCTCTTTCGACTCGTCTAGGTCGGTGGTCTTCAAACCCTCGTCAGGACTGACGGCCTCCCTCATGATCTGCACCTTACCGCGAGCCTGTTTATTGCCAAAGTTGTTCCCAGTGTATAGACTCATGATGCGTGAGAGTGAGCCAGGCGAGTTGAGGCCTAGATCACCTAGTGATGATAGCCCACCCGCTGAGGGGTTCGAGCCGGCCATCTGGTTCTGGTAGAAGGACTTGAGCTGCGCAAACTGCAGTTCGGCATCCATGTCCTCCGGGTTCAGGTGGTATTCCCCATTGCTCTCCTTTTTCCTCTCCTTGTGCTCCTTGGGAGTCAGCTTGGGCTGACCTCCATTCTGCAGCTTGGCCAACTGCCCGTGGATGCCATTGGGTCGGTCGAATTTGACTCCAATTTCGGTTGAGCTCCAGTTACAGTATGAACATGACAGCACGTAGGAAGCGCCCTGAGGAGCCGTTCCATCAGCCGTGAGAAGGTTGCTCTCGGGCGGAGTATCGAGAGCCGTAACAGCGAGGGGACCAACGCAGACGGGACATTGGAAGCAGCTTCGTGTGCACCTGCGATAGTGTTAGCCAACGCCGGAACTCTCAACCAAAGCAAACCCTGCGCATACCTGTTGCCTTCGCTTTTGAGGTTGCTGCTTGGGACCTCAAACAAGCAATTGGGGCAGTAGTAGGTGACAATCTCCTCATTGACGCATCGCGGGCACCGAATTTGGTGACAGTCTTCGCAGTACATCAGATGCTCCAAAGGATAAAGACTGAAGTTGGCGCGCGGGGCGCGCGGGTCGAATGTCCGCTCATCGTCCTCTGGGCTTCCCGGCGTTGACGACCCGTCCTCGCTGGACTGGTGAGTCTCGGAGCAGGGGCAGCGGATGTAGGTGTAGGGGGTCAGAGGTGCCATTTTCGCTCCGACATAATGCTATGCGGAGTGAATTCTGGGATTGAAGAATGTGTGGTTTGCCACGAGCTGAGGAGGGCCGCTGTGCCGCGCAGAAAGGCTCGAGGAAGGGCGTTTGAGAGTCTGCACGGAGCTGTCTCCCGGACGCGACAATGCTCCTCTTCACCGAAATCCCGCGCGACCAGAGCCCAGGAGTGTGGGCTGATAAGACCGATAAGAAGGTGAGCCTCTTGTTAGGTAGGTATCGATAAGATCAACCACTGGCAGATAAGCCCTTACATAAGCGGCCTCGAATGATCCCACCCTCCAATTCGGCTCTCCAGACTCAGGACTTACATGGAAGTTCAGCTTGGTCCCTCCGAAGGCTGCTGTTAGCCTTCAGTCCATCGCCTATTATTGCGCTCGACTGCATGGGAAAATCGCCTATTGAACCGAGAAAACTCTCTCTCTGGACGGACATTATTGATCAACATGCTTCAAGCTTGTCAAACCCACGCGAGACCGAGAACCGGTTCTTGTCAAACCATCGTCGATTCCTCGCCAAGAACGCCCTGAGGACGCTGTCACCACTGTCACCTCACTCCTCGCCACGGGCTTCCTCGCCACGGGCTTCCTCGCCACGGGCTTCCTCGCCACGGGCTTCATGTGTTCAATGATAGATTTCGGTGTCTCCGGTTGGGGATTCGAGAGGCTTCCCGCATCTGGATTATAAGACTTGCACTTGTCTTAAGCTTCTCTCTGCCGTCCGCCATGCCGGCGGCCAGCTTCGCTTGGCGCACTCCGACTCGTCTGCGGTTTCCTTTTACCGTTCACCTTAGTCCCACTGGGCTGGGTCTTCTTTCTTCAGCTTCGACGTTTTCGTTGCGGCCCGGCGCTGCGCTAATTGATAGCGGTCCAGACTTCCTCAAGTGCGACAGGATGCCAAAAGCCAGCCGCGGGGGTCTGGGTCGTGCAAGCCCTTCCGAAGCGAGCGAGGGCTGAGAGGACATGGGTTATGGTTGGGCTTGTCTGGCCTCCGGTCCGGTGGTGGACAGGAGCCCTTGCTAGGCGGTGGGATCCGCCTCCGGAACTCCTTTGTGCCTCACGACCCTGAGCCGATTTCTGGAAAGATGACTGTTGCCCCGCATGAGGGATGGCTGGACTTGGACGAGTGTGGTCAGCGCAGCTTCTGCCTTGCAGATGCCCTGCATCCCCTCTTGGAGCCGCTGTTCCACGCAGGGCAGAGGCCCGTCAAGGCGTCGATGACTGTGCATGGGTGTAAGTGGCCATGTCCTTCTTGCAGAAAGTCAACGCCAGTGTTTTGGGTCCCGAATAACTCGCAGCTTTCGTCGAATCTGTTGCGCGAGGCACACCGGCGATGGAAATCTCGGGTCGGAAAATATCTATCTGAAGTCGAGAGAGCGCGGCCAGCAACAGTCCTGGGGCTGGCCCCAACCACGGGAAAGAGGGTTTCTCTGTCGGCCGACGGCATGAAGCTAGGGAACCCAAACGCACGCTCATCGTTCCATGGCGATGGTTCTCTAACTTGGTCTATCCTGGTAGATCCCGAGCACCGGCCATCACTAGCAACCGTCTGGTTCGGTAGCACAATATCGGTCGCAAGTGAGAGAGACAGAGAGGCACGAAGTTAAACCTATCTGTACTACAAACAGTAATTACGGAAAGCGGACTGATCTAGCGACGATGGAGCGTCCATGGCGGCCGACCTTTCAGGATTCCCCATCCACATCATGGAGTTTCCCGCCGTGACGAATACCCTCATGAGGGGTGACGTTCTTTGGTCCCGATGCTGTCTATCACCAGGCCTACGTGGGTGCAAGACCCAGGTTCAATGTTGCCTCTCAACAAGATGAAGACGGTCAATTTCAATCCACACCTCCCGGATGCGATCGTGGCCGTTATATCACCTTGGGATGACTTCACATCTTGGCCGCCGTGTGACTGATGATTCAGCAGAAGAAAGCCGATTGCGATCGTCCCAAGACAATTAGCAAAGGGAAGCCCAGCTCCCGGGGGTTTAGTCGCCAATTTTCATGAGACATTGCTCAATCGAGCAAGCGGGACGCGACTCTGACCAATCATTGAGCTTCTTTGTCGATGCAAGCCAACGCCGAAGGATGCATCGAGGACGGCGATCCCCAAAGACATGCCCCCGGAGTTTGGGCTGATGGTGGGCAGAGGCAAGCCAGCATCGACGCTTTGCATCACCACCCTATCACTAGCATTCCCCAAATGTCACAGGGAGAAGGGACTGCATACGCAAGAATGCTCATACCAGCGAGGAAACAAATCACATCTGGCGCCTTGCCGATCACTTCAACGTCGACTACCTAGGGTTCCGTCACAACAGCGTTTGTGGAGACGCAGAGCCTGTTTGAGACCTCCAGACATCATACGTCGCCGTTGAAAGGCAAAATGATGCCTCTCGCCGTCCTTTTTTGCGAGAAGTCGGCTCACGGACGGGGAGCCTGCAGTGGCACAGCCTGGAGCTGACGGATGCTGCAGCAGCAGTGTTCCTCAGGAACAGACTCACTACGCCTGTATGCGTATGCTGCTGCACAGAGTCTGAGAAGTTTGAAGAGACTGCCAGCGCATCAGAGCTGTGGATGACAGGCACATTTGCTTGGCCGTCCTCGAAGAAGCTACAGACCAGGGTAGGGTCCGGACTGAGGGGTTCACCCATTGCTCTAGTGGCGGCCCGGTCTAAAACATGGCTTGGAGCTATCCCTCTGTCTCCCGCCGCGTCACTCGACACTCTACGACAGGCAGCTCGGACCGTGGGCAAGCTGGCGGGTCTTTGCCAGGACGCAGCCCAGTCCCGGATTCTGGGTCAAGTCAGTTCTTGATCCGGGACAAGTGACATAAAGCCATCCAGACGCCCACCCGAAGACGTTTTGTAAGGTTTTCGGCGTCCATTTCCCCATCCAACCACAGCTCTTTTGCTCATCCG